TCATCAGTGGTGATTACAGTTTGGCCTTTCGAGACACATTTATGGGAAGGTGGCTTTTCCCTCGTGTCACTCTTGCCTGCGTCTCCCTGGTGCCTTTACTCATACACGCTCCGCATTTGCCTGGAAGTGCTGACTTAAAACTAAAGTATCTCTGGGCTTGTTTCTTAATGTGTCAAGTACAAATAATGCGTTATTTTCCACTTACCTAAAGCAGTTAGAATCGGATGAAACTGAGCTGATATTGCTAATTCTAGTAATTCTTCCCTTATTTAGGTACAGTGGGGATACTTAAATACATCTTTAGGAGAGATTTCTTTTTAATCTAGACTTTATAGCTGCCAAAATCAAGGTTGATAATCTCAACTCTGATGTCCATCAGCATGTAAGTGAATAAACAAAATTGTGGTATTTCCTTCCATAGAATATTACTTAGCAATAATAAAGATATATAACTTGGATTTTAAGTACTGATTCCCAGTAGGAATTGTGTATACAAATCTTATTTTAGATGTATTTTCTTCAGGGACTCTTCTTGCCAGAGAACAGATGACAATGAATGATGGGACTGAGATTTCCATCTTCTACTAAAGAAAATTTACTTAGACTGGGTGTAGTCGCTCATGCCTGTAATCCCAGTGTTTTGGGAAGCCAAAACAAGAGGATCACTTGAGGCTAGGAATTTGAGGCTACAGTGAACTATGATCACATTAATCTAGCCTGGGTGACAGGGAGGCTCTGTTGCTTAAAAAAAGAAAAGAAAGCTTACTTAGATTGATAGAGCAATCAGTGGAAAAGTTATAGTCTGAGTCTCTTAACATGTCTTCTTTTTCTTGATAATTTTTCTTGATTTCCTTGGAATGAAAAACATTTTTTCCTTTCTTTTTTCTCTTTAAAAGAGATGAGGTACCAGGTACAGTGGCTCAAGCCTGTAATCCCCGCACTTTGGGAGGCTGAGGCGAGAAGATTGCCTGACCCAGGGATTCAAGACCAGTCTGGGCAACTTGGCAAGACCTCGTCTCTACAATAAATAAAAAAAATTAGATAGGCGTGGTGGTTCGTGCCTGTAGTTTCAGCTACTTGGAAACTGAGGCGGAAGGATCACCTGAGCCCAGTAGGTTGAGGCTGTGGTGGCTATGAGCGTGACACTGCACTCCAGCCTGAGCAAGAGTGAGACTCCAACCCAAATAAATAAATAAATAAGAGATGAGGTCTTACTATATTGCCCAGGCTAGAGTGCGGGTGTGTTCTTAGTATGCTATAGCCCTGAATTCCTGGGCTCAGGTGATCTTCCTACTTCAGCCTTCCAAGTAACTGAGACCAGAGGTGCGTGCTACTGCATCTGGCTTTCCTTTTTTAAAAATTGATACATAAAAATTCTACATATTTATGGGGTACATGTGATATTTTGATATAGGCATACAACGTATAACTATCAAATCTGGGAATTTAGGATACCTGTCACCTCAAACATTTATCATTTCTTGGTGTTGGAAACATTTTAACTCTCCTAGCTATTTTGAAATATACAGTAAATTATCATTAACTACAGTGACCTTGCTGTGCTGTGAAACACCAGAACTTGCTCCTTCTCTCTGTTTGTACCCATTCACCAACCGCTCTTCACCTCCTCTTCCACCCTTCCCAGCCTCTGGGGTCCACCATTCCACTCCCCACCTCCACAAGATCAGCTTTTTCAGCTCCCATATATAAGTGAGAATATGTGGATTTGCCTTTCTGTGCCTGGCTTATTTCACCTAACGTAGTGACCTCCGGTTCCATCCATGTTGTGCACATGGCAGAGATTCGTCCTTTATGGCTGAGTAGCATCCCAGCATGTATAGATGTATTTCCTTTACCCATCCACGCACTGATGGACACATTGGCTGATCCCCTGGCTTGGCTCTTGTGAACAGTACTGCAGGAAACTTGGGGGCAGATAGCCCTTTTGAGCCACTGTTTCCTTTGCTTTGGATATGTACCACTAGTGGGATTGCTGGATCGGATGGTCGTTCTATTTTTAGTTTAGAAAAAAAGAAATTTAACAGGGGCCAGTCGATCTGTGATAAGAGGACTAGTAAGTTTGCGGTAAGAAATATTTTGTGAATTGCAAAACAATAAAGTGGGTTTAGGGAAAAATAATGTCTGTACTATACAAAGTGTCACTCAGTTTTTAAACCAACTTTGATGAGTTATCGTTTACATACAGTGAAAAGTTCCACTTCTAAAAACTGTATTTTGTTGTATTGCTTTTGGTAATGTTGGACTTTGTTCTTAGAATCGGTTGGATCCCTTTGAGGCTTGCCTTTAAGATTTGTTAGGCCAGCCGGGCTCGGTGGCTCAGCCTGTAATCCCGTGCCTTTGGGAGGCTGAGGTGAGTGGAGTGCTGAGCCCGCGGGTTCGAGACCCGCCTGGGCAGCGAGACCTCATCTCTACAATAAATCAAAAAATCAGCTGGGCGTGGTAGCGCACACCTGTAGTTCCAGCTCCCTGGAAGGCTGAGGCAGAAGGATCGCTGGAGCCCAGCAGGTCGAGGCTGCGGTGGCCGGGAGCGGCCACTGCACTCTAGTCTGGGCGACAGAGTGAGACTCCAACTCAAAAAAAAAGAAAAAAAAAAAGAGAGATTTGTTAGGTGGGTCCAGACCAATTTTCAGTCTTGGGCTGGTCTAGCTGCACTACCAAGGTGATACCCTTCTGACGTCTCTATCAAACACCCCAGGGTTAATAAGGTCTTTCCATTCTGGTGGGTGAAAATACAGGCTACTCCCAGCTCCCATGAGTGCAGGAGTCATTTTGGTCTGGCTTCCTGGAGATCTGCTAGTGTCTCATACCTGTGCACATCCCTCAGAGTCTTTCTGTACCTCGCTCCTCTCCTGGACTTGGCCCAGCAAATTCTAGCCATCGTGGCCTCCCCAGCTCTGATTTCAACTGACAAACTTGGGTCCCCTTCCCTGTGCAGCAGCTCACTGCCTGCCCCCTAGTGGCACGGGAGCCACCCAGACGTTTACCTTGTGTCTCCCATCTCAGGCAGCACAGTCCTGCACTGCCTGTGCTTTGGTGTATGAAAATTGTCATTTTCCATACATTGTCCTGCAAGAAGGGAAGCGCAGTCTCTGGCACTACATCATGGAAGAAGTCTCTTCTCAGTGTAGATTAAGCATATGTTGATAATTTTACTGGGACATTGAGGTAATTGGCTCATCAGTTCTCAATGCATTTAATACACTTAAATGTCTGCTTTATTCTTCATAAGACATACCGTATAACTTAAATGATGTTTGGCTGGGCGCAGTGGCTCACACCTGTATTCCCAACATTCTGGGAGGCTGAGGTGGGAGACTCGCTTGAACCCAGGAGTTTAAGACCAGCCTGGCTGGGCTCAGTGGCTCAGCCTGTAATCCTGCGCCTTTGGGAGGCTGAGACGAATGGATTGCCTGAGCCCGTGGGTTTGAGACCCGCCTGGGCAACTTGGCGAGACCTCATCTCTACAATAAATCAAAAATTAGCCGGGCGTGGTAGTGTACGCCTGTAGTTCCAGCTACTCGGAAGGCTGAGGCGGAAGGATCGCCGGAGCCCAGCAGGTCAAGGCTGCGGTGGCCGGGAGCGGCCGCTGCACTTCAGTCTGGGCGACAGAGTGAGACTCCAACTCAAAAAAAAAAAAAAGACCAGCCTGAACAACATAGCGAGACCATGTCTCTGCAAAAAAATAAATAACTAGCTGGGTGTGGTGGCACATGCCTGAAGTCCCAGCTACTTGGGAGGCTGAGGCTGGAGGATTGGCTGAATCCAGGAGGTGGAAGCCCCAGTGAACCTTGATTGTGCCACTGCATTCTAGCCTAGGTGACAGAGTAAGACTCTGACTCAAAACAACAACAAAAAATTAAATAAAAAAGATGTTCTTTAGTGTTCACACTAATAAGGCTAATGTAAATGTTAGTGTTTTTCTCTGGTCAACTTGAAATTATTTACAAAAAAGAATATTGATTAGGGGTTGTTTGTGCCCAGTTTATCTAGCATAGCGTCCCATGAATAGTGGGTATGTTAGTATTATAATTTTAAGGACATTTGTGAGGCATCTGTGTGTCTGATTGGTTGATTATTTGTCATATGAACTGTATCATGTTTAGATTTTTTAAAATGGGGATTTGCTGGATTTATAATATTGATACATATGAGAGGATCACTGCAACCTTCTTTTTATTCATTAGTATTCCTGGTTTAGAAGATCATGAAACAGTTCTTAGCCCTTTGCAAGCTGGTCTTTTGAATGTATTGTGTTGCTCTGTATGACAGAACAATGGACATCTTTTCAAAGATTGACCTACCATCACGTCAAAACCTGTCCTAATATTTAGTCAGCAGCTAGAGAAATATATGTTTTAATCTCCTCGTGTCTTAGGGAAGATGACAACAATACTAAACATGATTTTATATTATTACAGATATACTATTGGTGTCTAGTAAGAGTTTGAAGGAAACAGCAACATAAAATGCTCTTAAGATGAAAATGTTGGGGTCAAGATGGCAGTATCTCTGATATTACATGTAAATTATGTGCAGCACAGTCAGTTGGGACAAGTATGGAAGCTGGGGGGCCGCTTACCACTGTGCAACTATTGGCCAGTCACGCCTTTGGGTCACCTGTAAAGCGAAGATAATAATAAGTGTCCTGTCTGCATTTGAGAGATGTGTGCGGTGCTCAGGTGCTCAGGGGCAGAGCTGAGATCCTCTGGGGATGCTGATGTGCCATGGAAGGATGAGTCATTAAGCCTTGCTGTTTCCATGATTATAAAACCTGCTATTAACAGTTAGAATGACAGAATGCACAGTGAGGTGGACTGACTGACATCTGCATTTCACACAGTTCCTGTGCAAACGACTTTAGGCTGACGTGGAAGAGACTCGCCGTAGGACTGATGTACGGATGGAGGTTGGGGAGGCTGCTGCCTTTCTTCCTTTCCTTTTTTCTTAGTCGCGTTGTGCTCTCTCCCGCGGTTTTTCAGGCCGAGAATGTGTGCAGCAGTTGGCTGAGAACACCCAGTACTTTCGGAGACGCCTCAAGGAGATGGGCTTCATCATCTACGGCAACGAGGACTCGCCCGTGGTGCCGCTGATGCTCTACATGCCTGCCAAGATCGGGTGCGTGCTCTGTGGGTCACAGCCTGCGGCATCTGTGAAGTGAGACCGGGCTGATGTATTTCCTTAGGGAATATCGTCTTGTCCTCATTGTGTTCACCTTCGTTAGATAGCTATGCCATAGAGTAGATAGTGGATGCCAAGTGGCAAAACATGTTAATTTGTTAAACAAACATTTGAGCTAAATACACCCTTCTAGGGGCTTGGCATAGATCTATGAGCAAAACACACACATCCTGTCCTTGAGTAACTTCTGTGGTAGTGGGGTAAGAGGCAGACCAACGTGGTAAACAGGTGGCCGATGTGGGATGTTAGCAGGGGTCACGTGCTGTGGAAGAAGCAGCAGGATGTACATGGGGGATGGAGAGTGCCCCGTGGGCGGGCAGATGGCACATCTCACAGGGTGGGCGGGGCAGGCCTCCTCAGGAAGGGAGGGTGACGCCTGAGCAAAAACTAGAAGGGGCCGAGAGCCAGCTATCTGGAAAAGGAAGCATCAGGCCAAGGCCACGGTGTAGTATCTGCTCCACTGAGGAGGTAGCTGCCCCCAGTGCAGTGCCCGAGGGGGCAGGGGTTGCAAGGTTGCAAAGGCCGTGTCAGGGTGTGTCACTGAATGCTTTCCAGATGTGCTGAGCACACTGCTGTCTTGGTTAGTGCAAGGAGCGCATAATGGGATGCTTTGTCCTGGGATGGCTTTCAGTATATTTGAGAAGTCCAGATGTGTAATGAAACCAGGAGACATTTGAAAAACAAATGAACAATAATTATAGTGAACAAATTTAATTATATGCAAAGTTGCACTGGAGATGTAGAATAAAGGCATGATCTGCTTAGTGAGAAAAGTAAAACTTGGCTAGGCTTGGTGGTTCACGCCTTCCCAGCACTCTGGGAGGCCAAGGTGGAAGGATTGCTTGAGCCTAGGAATTCAAAACCAGCCTGGACAACATAGCGAGACCACATCTCAACAAAAAATTAGTCGGTCATGGTGGTGTATTCCTGTAGTCCCAGCTACACAGGAGACTGAGGCAGAAGGATTCCTTGAGCCCAGGAGTTTGAGGCTGCAGTGAACCGTGATCGTGCCACTATACTCCAACCTGGGTTACACAGTGAGACTCTAACTCAAAAAAGAAAAAAAAAAAGCTTAGTGGTAGTTTTTGGATGGGTGCGTTTTGAGTTGGATATTGGATATAAAATTAGATAAGAATAATTTCTCAGGTTCTACTGAACTCATGAAAAGAGCAAATATTTTTATTTCTTCTTAAATCTCTAAGACTCACCCACCACAGTCCTTGGCACCCAGTAAATGTTTCTTGAGGTGAATATGGGAGATAAAATTAAATTGGGGAACCTGAAATTATGGTGATTGGAATCTCGTGAGTGGATGGTTGGGACAGGGTCCTCACTGAGAGAAAAAGAGGAATTCGGTTTTCCCACGAAGTCGGTGGTAGTGGGAGTTGTGGCCTTCAGGGGGGTGCTCAGGGGTTTTCTTCATTCTTCTTTAAATGGGATTATCATAAATAAATTTGAAGAGTTACCAGATTCAGAGGTCTCAGTCCAGAACTCTCTTTAGGGAGGACTGTGTCTAATCTATTCTGCCCAGGTGGAACTGACTGTGTGCTTAGAATTTGAGAAAGATTTGGCAGTGGGAAAGAGTTGGAGTAAAGCCCTCGGCAGTCGGGATCATGTGCTGAGGACACGGTTCATCTGGGCACAAAGGAGGCACATTGAGGAGGATGGGCTGGTGCTGGAGAGAGTGGGAAGGGCTGGAGGGACTGGCATTCATGTCATGCCAAACGTGCAGGATTTTTTTATCCTCAAACAGTTTCAGGAAGGAGTTGAAAAGAAAGAAGGTAGGTCAACAAGAGGAAATGACAAAGAACAACATAATTTGGTAAACAAAATTAAATGAAATGTAGAATGTGTTGGTCAGACATGGCACAGGTGAGGGGCAGGCCACGGGCCCCAGTTTGTCTTGGGGTGGGGTTGGCAGCTGTTACACAGGAGTCGTGTGGACCAGGGGATGAGCTGGCCTGGCAGACACCACAGGAAGCCCTGAGCTCTGGGGCAGCTGCGCTCCAAGTTGCTCAGAGAAATGCCTGGTCTGAGAGCTAATGCCAGCCAGCCACCCTGCTGGCAGACAGATGTCCCATGTCACAGCAAATTTTCTGCGTCCTCCTAATCTAAGAATCGTTTCAACTGCCAAGCCTAACATTTCAAGGACCAGGTTTTAATTAAACTCAGGTATGTTTGTCTGAACTACCCCTGTGTGTCAAGGACCCTTGTTAAGGCAGTATTCACACATCTCTTTAGACAAATTGGTCTTTCACCCTTGTGAGGGACACCATGTGGGAGAAGACTGCCATAGGACTGAGTCTTCACAGTCTGTGGGAACTGTCCATTTTAGCTTGAATAGGTTAGAGGCAACTCACTGAAACTCTCCAGTGCTAGCATCACCATAGCGCTGAGCTCGCTCGGGACCGCAGGGCCTTTGCAGCGGGCGCCTGATGCCTCCTCCCTGCTCCCCTTTACAGCGCCTTTGGGCGGGAGATGCTGAAGCGGAACATTGGTGTTGTCGTCGTTGGATTTCCTGCAACCCCAATTATTGAGTCCAGAGCCCGGTTCTGCCTGTCAGCAGCTCATACCAAAGAAATCCTTGACACCGTAAGTAGATGCTTTCACCTGGGCATAAGCATTCCTGTGTAAAAGGGGTCTGTGTAGACGAGGAAATGAATCATGATGATCCAGGTGTTCTCGGAGTACTTGAGCTGTTTACTGAAGAAGGACAAGTGGTGCCCCATACTACTTAAATATCGGCATTTGCGGAAAGCTTGTCACCCACCCGACTTGGTGTCACTAGAGCTCTGGAGACTTTTCCAGCTTCATCTTGTTCTACTGTCTTCTACATTATGGACTCTACAACTGCACAATTCTCTTTCTTTCTTTTTTCTTTTTTTTGAAGGAGGATCTCTGTTGCCCAGGCTGCAGTGCTGTGGTGCAATCATAGCTCACTGCAGCCTCAACCTCCTGGGCTCCAACAGTCCTCCTGCCTCAGCCTCCCTAGCGAGTGTGACTATAGGCATGGGCCACTATTTCCGGCTAATTTTTAAAATTTTATTTGCAGAGACACGGTCTTGCTATGCTGCCCAGGCTAGCCTTGAACTACCCTGCTCCCACCGTAGCCTCCCACAGTGCTGGAATTACAGGTGTGAGCCACCACACCCAGCCCAGTTCTCTTTCTGCTCTAGCTGTTTCTGCTTTAAGCTTTCTTGTACATCACCCTGTCTTAGAGTTTTTGCCTGAGCCTGACTGCCTGCTCCTCACTCGAGACCTCTCCACTTCAAGTCAGCTTCCCAGGGCCCTTCTAAGCCCTTGCTGCGTGTTCCCTTGAAACCCTGAGATTCTCCCTTACTGCGTGACACATCTGTCTCCACCGGACACAGCTTGGGGATAGGAACTAGGTCTATTTATTTTGCAGTGCCAGGCACCCAGTTGGCTTGTCATTATCACTAAATGGAATTATTTGTGATCTCCGTTAGTCTCATCTCCTAAAATCTTCTTGATACACTGTTGGCTCAAATCTGAGATCTCCGACTTGAGATAAGTATTGCTGTCTGGGAGTTCAAAAACTTTAGAACATGACATGTGCATACAGTTATTTGCTAGAAGTGATCGCTAATTCATTAGAGAGATACTGATCTTAGAGACTGTTATGAACGCTTGCTCATAAAAGTTCATTATAACAATTAGCTGGCATTTTCTATTTTTGAGCAACTAAAAACTTCACTCTTCTTCCATTTCTACATAGCAAACTGTCTGTGAGTATATTTCTCTTAAAAAAAACTGTGGTAAGAACACTGAATATGAGACCTGTCCTCTTCACAAACTCTTAAATGTACAATACAGCATTGTTAACTGTAGGTGCAGTGTTGTGTGTAAGTGTATTCTTAATCACATTCTGACATTACTCAATTAGATTTCGTTTTTTGATCTGTATCTTTGAGGTTTTTCTTTCTTATTTTGATTATGCCGTTCAGATTTTTTTTCCAGTAGATTTTCACATTTCTCACCAGAAATCTCACTGGTGAATTTCTTCCATGATTTTTTTAACTCAGTGATATCAGCTTGTCTTTCCCTTCTCGTGTGTTTAAGAGTTTCAGCGTACCTCCTTAAGGTATGAAACGCTAAAACTCTCTGTCTTCTGATGACAGCTTTGAATCCCAAGAACTGTGCACATTCATGAAAAAGTTTAGATGTACGTAGAATGTGAAAGCAGGTTTCTGTTGCCAGCCGGTATATCTGCAAGTTGAGCATTCTCGTCCTTCTCATAAGATCCACTTGAGGGACTGTTGGGCTTTGCCTCTCGCTGAGTTTTTTAAAGCGTAAAGTGCGTTTTTTGAAACCATGGGTTTGTTAAAGTAATTTGTCTTATGATATTTTATGGAACTAAACATGAATTAGACCATTATGAGATACAAATGAATTTTCACATAATAATGGACCCTGTGAGGTGATTCTATATATAAAAAATGCCATACAAGCCACATCACACACAAAAAAAAAAAACTGATAAAGCTAATAAATGAATTCAGCAAAATTACAGGGTAATAAGTCACAAAAAATTAGTGTTTTTATATACCAACAATGAACAAATGAAAAGGAAATTAAGAACATTTCAGGCTGGGCATCCTGTAATCCCAGCACTTTGGGAGGCTGAGGCAGGAAGATTGCTTGAGCTCAGGAGTTCAAGACCAGCCTACGCAACATAGCAAGACCTCATCCTTGTTAAAAAATTAGCTGAGTGTGGTGGCACATGCCTATAGTTCCAGCTACTCTGAGGCTGAAGGATCACCTGATCCCAGGAAGTTGAGGCTGCAGTGAGTCATGATCATGCCACTGCACTCCAACCTGGACAACAGGGGAGACCTCAACTCAAAAAAAGTAAGTCCAGGTGTGGTGGCTTTATGCCTGTAATCTCAGCACTTGGGAGGCTGAGTCAAAAAGATTGTCTGAACCCAGAAGTTCGAGACCATCCTGGGCAGCATGGCAAGATCTCATCTCCACAATAAAATAAAAACATTAGCTGGGTGTGGTGGTGCAAGCCTGTAGTCCTAGCTACTTGGGAGACTGAGGCAGAAGGATTGCATGAGCCCAGCAAGTCAAGGCTGCAGTGGCTGTGAGTCTGCTACTGCACTCCAGCCTGGGCTACAGAGTGCAGTTTCTACTCAAAAAATAAATAAATAAAAAAGAAAATTTCATGTACAATAGCATTCAAAAGAATAAAATACCTAGGAATAGTTTTTTTTTTTAAAGTCGAAGTCTCACTCTGTGGCCCAGGTTAGAGTGCAGTGGCACGCTCACGCCAACCCAGTGTCAACCTGCTGGGCTCTGGCGATCCTTATGCCTCAGCCTTCCAAATAGCCAGAACTACAGGCATGCGCTACTACGCCTGGCTAATTTTTGATTTATTGTAAAGACAAGGTCTCACCAAATTGCCCTGGCTGGTCTCGAACCCTCAGGCTCAGGCAATCCACTCCCCTCAGCCTCCCAAAGTACTGGGAGTACAGGCTGAGCCACCGAGCCTAGGACTAGATTTGAACAGGAAAGTCTTTCCCTTGCACACTGGTTAATTTATACTTGTACAGTGTATATTTATATTTGTATACTGAAAACTCCAAAACTTTACTGAAATGAAAGAAGACTTAAATAAATGGAAAGACATCTTATGCTCTGTGAACTGGAAGGTATAATATTATTAAGATGGCAGCATAGCAGTCCACAGTTCCAATGCAATCCCTGTCCATGTGCCAGCTGCGTTTTTTTGTTTTGTTTTGCAAAAATGGAAAGGTTGAACCTCAGATTCATATGGAACCGGCAGGGTCCCAAATACCCAACTTAGTATTGAAAAGGAGAAGCAGAGTTGGGACTCATACTTCTTGATTTCCAGACTCACTACCAGGCTGTGTACATACAGCTGTGGAGTGCCGACATAAGGACAGACACAGACCGTGATAGAACGGAGAGCTCAGAAATAAACCCAGGCATCTATAGCCAGGACCAGCCAGTGAGAAAAGCGTAGTCTCTTCAACAACAATGCCAGGACACCTGAATGCAGAAGAACAAAGGGACGACCGTACGGCCCAGATGAATGTTGAAGACATTATGCGAGGTGAAAGAAGCCAAACACAAAGACCACGGAACTTAGGATTCCATTTTTAAGAGATGACCAGAACCGGCCAATGGATAGGGTCAGGAAGCAGACTGGCGGGAGTTGGGCCTGAGGGAAGGAGGAGTGAGGACTGATATAACGAGCATGGGGTTTCTTTTCAAGGGGGGTAAAAATGCTCTAAGATAGTGAAAAAAAAACTTGCACAACTCTGAGAATGTAGGTAGAAGCAATTACTTATATAAACCGGGAAGGGAAGCATATCAGCTGGGGAGGAGGCAGCTGTTCTAGAATGTTCCCTTCCTCAACCCCATAATTCATACACATTTTTCTCCTAGCAACCCAGCTTACCCTGTGGTCCCGAGGCCCAGTGTAGGCTATTTGTTAATAAATGATGATGGCGCAGTGGTTCTTTGTTCTAACGTATCCACAAAAGAGTCGGCAGTTCCTATGACAGTTCCATCTTTTATGCAAATTAAACTTACTTGACTGAAATATTTGGTATGGAATCAGAGGAAATCTTGTCAGCTAGATTCCCTTGGGCCACTGATGGTTTTTCTTTTTCTTTTTCTTTTTTTTTTGAGTTGGAGTCTCACTCTGTCACCCAGACTGGAGTGCAGTGGCCACTCCCGGCCACTGCAACCTTGACCTGCTGGGCTCCGGCGATCCTTCTGCCTCAGCCTTCCAAGTAGCTGGAACTACAGGCGCGCGCTACCACGCCCGGCTGATTTTTGATTTATTGTAGAGATGAGGTCTCTCCAAGTTGTCCATGCGGGTCTCGAACCCATGGGCTCAGGCAATCCACTCACCTCAGCCTCCCAAAGCACTGGGATTACAGGCTGAGCCACCGAGTCCGGCTGAGTTTTTCTTTTATCTAATTATTTCCTTTTTTTATATTGATGAAAAAATACTAGATTCTTCTGAAGCTAGAGTTATAAATGTCTCTTCCTTTATGACCTTAATCATGTGGACTTTTGCTTTAAATGAATAAATCTTGTATCAGAGCTCAGGGGAATAAGTGGTTTAATGGATTCCCCCAGCCGAAATCCAGTTTTGAATTATTTCCAGCCGGGCTCGGTTGCTCAGCCTGTAATCCCGCACCTTTGGGAGGCTGAGGTGAGTGGATTGCCTGAGCCCGCGGGTTCGAGACCCGCCTGGGCAACGAGACCTCACCTCTACAATAAATCAAAAAATCAGCTGGGTGTGGTAGCGCATGCCTGTAATTCCGGCTACTTGGAAGGCTGAGGCGGAA